GGCAACTTCAAGTCCCACCTGCTGCAACGTTGCTGCTTCGTGAGGGATGTTTTCCGAGGTGTCTGGTTTGTTCCTACCGGTACGTTTGGATCAAGACACCAAGATTGTCCGTGACGACCTCTACACAAGATCGCTTGCATGCTAACGTAGCATGTGATCGCATCCATTGCTGTCGTTTGTTCGACGCGTTTTTGGGGAAAAACAGGCCAGTTCTACCGACCATTTAACTTCAAACGCTGCCGTCTGTACCGTTGATGCATCACGCGAGCCGTTCGTGGCAACAGACCGCGTCAAAAAGCTCGACTGGTGTTGATGCTATCTCGGTAGAAGCGAACCCCACTGGTTCATCCTCTAGTGAGTGCTTTCTTCCGTTCAGTAGTCGTACACAAGGTTGCGATACAGTACAATACACTACCTGATACTAGTACAGTACCCCCGTACACTACAGTGTACACCACGGCAACTTCGCTGTAAGAGTAGGACCGAACGTGACGAGATCGCCTTTCCGCTTCAATCGGCTTTGCCGCCGACACGCTCAATGTCTTCCAACACCAACGCGGGTCGACGACAGAGGTCTTGTCGATTTCAGTGTAGTTGATATGCATGCCAGCCTTCTTTGCGGAAGGGGCGAGCCATTATTGTCAAGCAATTGCTCGCTATCTTCTGGCGACGCCATTTTGCCTTTGTAGAAAGGGTGCTGACTACCATCTGGATCGAGCCTCAAATAAATACGACAGCGTCGGGCATCAAGAGTTGCTTTCATCAGCAGAGGCAGTTGGTCTCGCCCCACGTGGGCCTTACTAACACTTCCCCGCGGAACGAGTACGCATTCATTTCTTATTTGCCCCCAAAGACAAGCCATGTCGGGTAACCAAGGCATCTACCTGTACCAAGAAGCCGACCACCAAGTGACGCCGACGCCGCCGCACCTCCTCCATGCGACGCCGAGCTCAGCGTCATCGACAAGCAGCGGTGGGAAGCGCACAGCGCCGCACCACGAGCCCCTTGGTATTCGCACCAACTTTATGACGCCGGCGCGGCACGAGCTCGGGCCCCACACGCCCGAGTACGAGTTTCCGGACCCGATCATGGAAGAGACCGAGAAGCTGCCAATCGGCAGCAATTTCGACCCGCGGCTCGGCGCCAACCTCGTGAGCTCGCTCTCGATCCTCATTGGCGTTGGCGTTGGTGTTGGCCTTGGGATTGGGCTGAAAGCGCTCAGCATCAACAAGGACACGATGCTGTGGCTCGCGCTGCCGGGCGACCTCTTTGTGCGCGCGCTGCGCTGTCTCATCGTGCCCATGGTGTTTTGCACCATGACGGTCGCGATCGCCGAAATTGCCATTTTGAAAAACACGGCGCTGCTCTCGTGGCGCACGGCCGGCACGTACTTTCTCACATCGTTTCTCGCGGCCGTGCAAGGGACCCTTGTCGCGATTACGTATCACGGACTCGTTGCGCGGCAGGACAATGCGACGACTTTCAACACGGCATCGACGGTGCCTATCATTGCGCTTCAGTGCGCCAACGGCAAGTACCTCGGGCCGTCGTCCATCGATGGCAGCGTCGCGTGCACCGGCGTGAACGCTTCGTCCGCGCAGTTTCAAGTGACGGACGTCAACAACGCGCTCACGATCTCGACGCCGCTCCAGACGCTCTCGCTGACGCAGCAAGTGATTGCGATCATCGAGATGGTCGTGCCCGACAACATTTTCCACGCGCTCGCCGCCGGGTCGCTCCTCTCGATCATCATGTTTGCTCTGCCGCTTGGCATTGCCGTCGCAAAGTCGCATGCGGGCGACGCGAGTGCCAACAACCTCCTCAACATGCTTCGCCAAGCCCGGAACGCACTCTTGATCCTGATCCATATTGTGCTTCGCTTTACGCCAATCGCGATCGTCTTTCTCATCAGCAGCGCTGTCGTTGCATACGACACGTCGTCTGCGGGATTGGCGGCGCACGGCGGGTACCTCCTCCTTGCCTTTGTCGCCGGCGTCGTCTCGCACGTGCTCATCGTGCTACCGATCGTGCTCTTCCTCTTTACGCGCAGCAACCCGTACAACTACCTCCGGCAGCTCTTTCCGGCGTACGTCTTCGCGTTTGGGTGTGCCTCCTCGATGGCGACCCTGCCCGTCGCCGTCACGGTCACGCACCAGACGCGCCTCGTGACGCGCTCGATGGCGCAGCTCATTATGTGTCTCGGGACGCCTATCAACATGAACGCCGCGGGTCTGTACCAGCCCATCATGACCATTTTCATGCTGCACATGTCGGGGAACGCGTCCGCGCTTGGGACGCCGCAAATCGTCGTTCTCTTCTTTGTCTCGCTCATTGGCTCCATGGGCACGGCGCCTGTCCCGAACGCCGGTCTCGTCATGCTCATGACGGTCTGGAAGACGGTGTTTCCGACGATCGCGCTGCCGTCGGCGTTTGTGTACGTGGTGGCCATCGACTTTCTTTTTGATCGGATTCGGACGGCAGTCAATGTGAATGGCAACATGGTCGTGACGCGGATTCTATCGGCGCAGTACGACGACACAATTTCGCTCGACGGCGCCAGCACTCCCGTCGCGTAGTTTCATAGGAAGACTATGTACTGTGTGTCCTTCTAGTAGTGTACTAACCGTCTATTTAGAATGTGTAAAGAAATACCCGATGGTGTGTCTAGTGTATGCTTGCAGTTGATTGCAGTGGATGGTAGAAAGGAAAGTGAGGTGTTTCGGTGTGCAGAGCCCGCCGTCGACTCTCTTGCAGGTGTTGAAGTTTTGCAATAGAAATGCGAATCCATCACAACAGTGAAGACAGAGTCGTGCGGGTAGCGATAACGAGCTAGCGCTGTGTGCTGCAGGGTGGCAGTCTTGGTGGCTATCCTTGCACCACACACCCACGACCGCTAATAGGCCTCGGCTATGCTGCAGCGACGTCGTTCGTGTCACCGCCCATGCCCTGGTTTGCGGATCCGGTGAGGCCATCACGATGAAAACAGTTCAGTGAGCCCGTGTCCGTAACCATGACCCGCAGAGACTCACTTTCACAATCTTGAAGTCAGCGTCGTCCGCGAGGAAAGTGCCGCGACTACACCGAAATGCGACAAAATAGAGCTGTACAATAAGAAACTAGCATGGCAGCCCCGTCATTGGTGGTGGCCGCATAAATTTTGCCTGAATTAAGTCCTACCAAAACGGCTTCGTCTTCAGGGACGCTCGCACCGCTCGGATTGAACGAGCATTCGAGCAATTGCCGCGGGGAGCGGTACAGTGTACATAAGCAAAGTATGTAATCGTATATCTCCCGCCGGCTGCCGATAATGCGTGATGATCGCGTCTCGATGGCATACAAAAGGCAAGAGAAATTGCTTTCGGCTGACTTTGCCGGTCAAATATCGTGGATGTACCAGCTGTCAGCAACACTGCCGTTTCTATTTCTTACTCGATTACTGTATGGTTACTGGTACTTGTTGCGCTGCGTCGACGCCGGCGCGTGGTGCTAGAGGCGTGGCCTCCATGATATTGTTGTACTACGGTGTCCACTCACGACGTGCAACCACCACGCAACTGATCATGAAGTTGTTCGCTTCAATACCGACAACGCACGACGACATACTCGTCAGCTAGGGTACACGGGTATCGAAGCCATGGGCGTGCGATGGCCATGCGCAAATGATAGCTGGCGGTGATGCGTGCGGCCTCTGCGTGGCCACTACTGCGCTTGCACCCACTGCGAACGATTCGCGCGCTGGCTTGCCGCTGACGTGGCGTCACCAGAGACACAATGCGCCCGGCTAGCAGCCACCTCTGTGGACGTCAGCGCCTGTCAACTAATAGTAGAAACCGCCCTCGCAGCCGCTGTAACGCCATCGGTACTTACCAAAGGGAAATAGTATCCACGTCTACCCCAGAGACATCCGTTCCACCCGGTTCCAACCGCATCCAATGGCTTCTTCTTCCGCCACATACATTATATCGCCCTGTCTGTGAACGTTGTCGCTGCACCAAATGGCGGGGCGTCGCAGCCGTGTGTGCACTCGCCTTGCACTGGCTGTGATCACTTTTCATTTGCCCTCTTCGTCCATAAAACACCTCGATGGACAAGGGCATCTACTGTATGTTGCCGAGGGTAGCAACGGTACGCCGCAGACCAAGGCAGCGTCCGTGAGCTCGGTGCCGTCCTCCAACTTGACGCCAGGCGCCAAGCCGCCGCCGCCCGAGCCGCTTGGCATTCGCACTAACTTTACCACCGCCGGCAACGCTGGCGTCCAGTACGTCTTTGACGACCCGATCATGGAAGAAGGCGCGGGTGGCATGATGGCGCCGCACGCGGACTATGACCCGCGCGGGTCGGGCTTTGTGAGCTCGCTCTCGGTCGTCATTGGCGCGGCCCTCGGCATCGGTTTCGGCCTTCTCCTATCCAAATCGTTTGATGTCGGCGAGGACACGCGCCGGTGGCTCGCGCTTCCCGGTGACCTCTTTGTCCGCGCGCTCCGCTGTCTCATCGTGCCGCTCGTCTTTTGCACGATGAGCGTCTCGGTCGCCGAAGTCGTCGTCCTCAAGAAGACGTCGATTCTCACGTGGCGCACGGCCGGCACCTTCTTCCTCACGTCGCTTCTCGCGACAATCCAGGGCATGGTGCTTGCGCTTATCTACCACTCGATGTTTATGGCCACGAACACGAACGGTGGGACGGTGCCGAGCGGCCCGCTGCTGGCCCTCAAGTGCACGAACGGTCTGTATTTGAACTCGCTCGCGAACGGGTCGGTCGTCTGCGCTTCGCCCGACTACGCCGGTGTCAACTCGACGCAGTTTGAGATCACGGACGTCAACAACGTGCTCTCGGTCAAGACACCGCTGGCCAACTTGTCGTTGACCAAGCAAGCGATCGCGATCATCGAGCTCATGGTGCCCGACAACATCTTTTCGAGCATGGCCCAAGGTTCCCTCCTCTCGATCATCATGTTTGCGTTGCCGCTCGGGTATGCCATTGCACGATCGAGCGCCGAGGGCGCCGATAACTACGTCCTCAACGTCCTCCGCCAGGCGCGCAACAGTCTCCTCTTGATCTGTAACGCCGTGCTCCGCTTGACGCCGATTGCCGTCGCGTTCCTCATCTGTAACGCGATCGTGGCCGTCGACTCGACGTCATCGACGGTTTTGGCCCAGGCTGGGTACCTGATTTTGACGTTTTCATGCGGCATTGTGAGCCACATGCTCATCGTGATGCCGTTCGTGCTCTTCCTCTTTACGCGCATCAACCCGTACAGCTACATTCGCCAGCTCGTGCCCGCGTATGTCTTTGCCTTTGGCTGCTCGTCGTCGATGGCGTCGCTCCCGGTGGCCGTCACGGTTGTGCACCAGACCCGCCAAGTCTCGCGCTCGCTCGCGCAAATGATCTTGTGCCTTGGCACACCCGTGAATCTCAACGCGCCCGGACTCTACTTTCCGGTCATGATGGTGTTTCTTGTCAACACGTCGGGCATGAACGACCTCCTCGGCGTGCCGCAGATGGTGGTCCTCTTCTTCGTCTCGCTGCTGGCGTCCATGGGCACGGCGCCGGTGCCCAACGCGGCGCTCGTCATGCTCATGACGGTCTGGAAGACCGTGTTTCCGACCATGGTCATTCCCCACTCGTTCGTGTACATCGTGGCCGTCGACTTCATCTTGGATCGCATTTGCACCATGTGCAATCTCAACGGCAATATGGTCGTCACGCGCATTCTTGCGGACAAATACAACGACGTGTGGGCCCACCACGAGTAGAAAGCTGCGACGCCTTTCTATTGTACTTATTCTTATAAACCATCTCGGAAATGCAGAGATGCCCGTGTAATTTGAGTACCAAGACGACATGATACCATTCTCGGCCAGCATATCACCCCTCTCACATGGCATCTCTCACAAACGAGTTCATTTTGGCACGTTGCCATTTCGCAAAGCCACGTGATTGGCTTAAATGATTTCCTTTGCGTGGACCAATCCAAAGAACCAGCCTGCTTCAATCCGCCAATCAATTCGCAGCAGTTGAATACGTCGGAACCTCAGTCAACGCACCACTCTACTTCCGCGGACACGCAGGTCCGCTGCCACTGTTGCTTGCATCAACGTCTTATCCTCATCTCGCCCATCGCGTCGTGATGGTCACGAATCACACGAGCCAGTTTACTTGTGGCGCTGTGTCGCCATGCCTACTCGTTGAATGTCCTCCTACAATTTGAGGATCGGTCGCTTGCAGTAGTCGAGACGTCGGGCTTCCAGTGTGGTCCTAGCTGCGCCATGTCGCGCCCATTGCAAATCACTGCCCGTGCTCGCACCGTGTGGGACTCGACAAACCGGGTATGACCTGCGGAGATCGTGTTATCATCCCTCTCCAATCTGGACCTCGCTCGCCGTGGTAGAGAAAGTCGCCTCCTATAAGAGGCCCTATCGATCCAGTTTACGGTAACCATGCCGGTAGTATTGGCACGCAGTCCTGTTGGGCAAATGCCAAGTTTAAAGGGCCCGTGTCCGCTTCATAGACACGAGCCACTTGACCGTAAAGGCTCGGAATAGAAAGGCTCGCGTTCGTTTTTTCCGGCCTCGACAGACGCGCCACTTTGAGAGCGACTTGTAACTTCGTACTGATGGGTACGATTGGGTGCGTCGTGTGCAGGGACGAGCGCCTCGCCCGACAGCGCGTTCTCACCACCAAGCACCTCGCGTTCGGCATCGGCTCCTCTCCCCACAGTGCTGCCGTTGTGCAGTGAAGGAGAAGCGAGTGCTTTGGCTGCCGAATCCATTGTGGCGTGACCAAAAGAATGCACGCGGCCAGATACTCGTGCAGCCGCAGAGAACAACATATGATGCAACGCCATGGCAACCCGGGTGTCGGTCAAGACCGTCGTCACGGGCGACCTGTGATAAGGTAAAGAGATCGAGTGCGGGCCATGGGCACGAGGCCATGGGATCGAGGCTCGCTCGCGATGGTGCGTCGAGTACGTTTGAACTACAGGACGGTACAATTCACGTACCGTAGTGCCGTAGCGGTACAAATTCTCAGGCGGCCCGTGCTGGCTACAGGTAATGCTGCACCGTCGTAATTCTCAGACGTCCTTTTGCGCGTGACAACACATCGCCACTTTCACATTTCCATCGTTTCGAGCAGTATGCCAGAAAAAGGCATCTATCTCTACTACAACAACAGCACCACCGAGCCGTCGCCGGCACCCACCGGGCACCACCGGCTGCATACGACGCCCGGGTCCGTCCTCGTCGTCGAGCACAGGT